TTTCTCTTTAGTCTTGGTCCCTTTTAAGATTACACAATGATAGCTCTTTGAGTCAATTCCAATTGTTGGGGCAACTTCCTATGGATTCCTCTGGATTGCTGAAAAGCAGAGCTCCTTAGATTTTGCTGAGTATTTGGTGGATTTTGTTGTTCCTGTTTCTATTTCTTCACTGTTTGTTACTTTCTATTTCTTTTTGACAAGAAAAGGCATAGGAGAAATGGGAGAGAAGAGACAGAGTTCCTTTATTATAGTAGGGGGAAAGAAATCATCTAGTGAAAGGGAGAAAAGAGCCTCTTTATTACAGTGGGGGGCATGGTTCCTCTATTGCAGTGGAATAGAGGGCAGAGTTGTTGTTAACTGCCATCAAGCTGACTTTGCCTTATAGTGACCTATGAATGAGATACCTCCAAGTAGTCAAGGAGCCCATGAATGAAAGACCTCCAAGTCAGCAGCCCTGTTGAAGTCTTGCAATCTTCCATTTCTGAGTCTATCCATCTGGAATGTGATCCTCTTTTCCTACTCCCTCTTTTCCTACTCCTTTCTATTGAGTCACATCTTCTCATTATATATTCAAAATATGACACCAATTTAATTATCTTGCCTTCTAGGGAGAGATCAGACCTGATTTGCTCATTTATTGCTCTTTTAGTAGCCCACATTATTCATAGAAGAATGTTTACTGGAGGTGGAGGACAGAACTTCTTTATTACAGTGGAGGGACACTGTATTGTGAGGGGAATGTGTACATGTACCTTCAAGTTGCCTATTGTCTTAGGACAGCACCATGAATTTCCAAATTTTTTTAGGCAAGGGATACTGAGAGGTCGTTTTTACCAGCCCCTTCCTCTGAAATATAGCCTGAAGCTACTGATATTCATTTGTGGTTCATCTTGCTTAGTTTCAAAAATTCAGATGGGATTTAGTGTTGTTAGGACATAGAGCCTCTTTGTTAAAATGAGGGAAAAACTCACTCTCTATTGCAGCAGTCTTTGAATTATAGTTTGTGGAGGATCTCCAGAAGAAAACTTCAGATGAAAAAGACCTCTGTTGCAATAACAAACCTTTTATGATCAAAAATAAAAAGCAGCAGATGATGCTGGGAACTGTCAGCAAACTGTCCAAGACAACAAAATGCCATATCATTATTTCTGTTTCAGAAAACAACAAGAAGAAATAGAGGTCCAAATACTGTAACCTTCAGGGAGATTTCTCCAATATTGAGAAATTCACTCTCTTGCATCTACGTCATTGTAACTATGGCAAGCATCCTAAATCAGCACAATCACAAAGATACTTGAGTTTGGCATAATGATAGATTTCCCAAAAGGGAGAAGGAGGAGAGCAAAAGAGCACATAATCCTACAATGCACCAAAAGTTCAGGAGGTGGCTTTCAACAAAAACAACACAACAAAACAAGAACTGTTTCTTGGGCAACATCCAGAAGTTTTTTGTGTTTCATTTCATACTGATGAGTGTTACAATTTAACATTTCATTCTGGCAAATGACATGCTATCAACTAGAATAGGAGAAGGCATTTGACACTGAAATCTATGAAAAAATATGGGTGAAAATATTTCCTAAGATTATGACTTGAAACCTGTTTGTATATAAAACTAAACTAATTGTAGTTTCTGTCCTATGGCATCTTAACACTCTCCTCAATATACCCCCTCATTTATTTCAAGTCCAAGAGAAAACTGGCCACAAAAGTCTGATACATTTTCATTTTCAGTGTTTCCACATGAAAATTAATCTCAACAGGGTCCTTTTATACACTCAGCTGTATCATTAAGTAGCTATACCCATTTCAAATGGAAGAATGTTATTATATTAAGAAGCAAGTCATTATAACACTTATTTTATTGCTACAAACAAAACAGAAAAGTAAACTTTGTTGAAGATCATCCAGTGAAACTATCACTAACCTTAGCTTAGCCTTCCCACTACGTTCAAGCCTTCCATGCCATTAATCTCAATGTGCTGGAAAACCTGAACAAATTCCACATGGTCTCAAACTCCCACTTCTTAAAGAAGATAACTAAAGAAAAATCCACTGACAAACTGCAATGGCTTCACCTTTTAGTCAAATAGGACCCTTTGTGATATTTTATTATTCCTGCTCCAATTCTAATTCTACCTCTTCATTTATAGAACATTTACTCTCAAATAGCTAAAGAAATGAGGAACCTCGCCTCCCCCACACACACTGAACAACAACAAAAAAGACATTTTTAGGTTATTCTCAAGGCAAAACACATCTTTCAGTTTTGTTCAGAGAATACAAAAGCTCATCTCCATTTCTATTTTAGAACAGTTTAATTAAATTCCAAGCCTGGTAAAGAGAGATATGTCTAACTCACACATGGCTCTGAATAGAGCATTAGGTTTCTAATATGAGATATGGTAATGGGTGAGGGAGAAATGACATTGTAGTTTTTAAAATTCCATACCGTAGTTCTAAACTTATGAAGTGCCAGTTTTGGATGTAGTGACTTTCTGCACCTGAAATGGGAAATACACTTTACCTTCCTTTCAATTATGACCACATCCATTTTTCAAATCAACACTTTGTGCCCAGTCCATGCCCACCAGATCCTCTTTGCAGATCTCAGTGAAGTGAAGAATGCTGGAAAAAGATGGGGAATTAAGCCAAGAAACATTGGCAAACTAGTGAAAGAATACACTTCTATTTACTTGTTTTCCAAAACATTGCTCCTGTGGCATACTATATAGGAGGCACTGCTCATATTGAGACATCTCGGCTCCATATATACAATGCAGCTTGCATCATGATACTTGCACTAGTGTAAAATTGAGGCACTTGGGTTAACATTGAGCTTTGGTTCTATTTCAAGTCAACAGATACATCACCTGTACTGTAGGAATATAGATAGTTTTCTCTGATCTTCCAGAGGATTTCAATTTTCATCTGCTCCAATCAACATAAGCCAGTGTTTAGGATTGAAAAGAACTGTAGACCAAGTCATCAACTTCTTGCTACTATATGATCCAGCTATTACCCACAAGCTCCAATATGTGTGTTGACAACATGCTGAGACCTTCCTTTTCTTTATGTTGGCACTCCACAAATAAATCAAATCTTAATTAGGCATCTCTCTTATTGCAGGAAGATTGGGGAGCCACCACCGCAGTTCCTGAATCATTTTGCTTAGCTGTTAATCAGTTTGACATGCACATATGAATGAGCAGAAACCTGAGCAACTACTAGGCACAAGAGCCAGTACAAGTTTTAAATAAAGTTCTTTGACCACTATATACGATATGATAGTAAGAAGCAGTAATTCCCTTCCCCAACCAGAGCATCCCCATGGGTGTCTACTGCACAATTCTAATTCCAATGAATATTGCAATGATCCAAAATTTAGAGGATGCAACAAGTAAGGAACAGAACCATAGCTGTTTTACTTTTTTTCAAGTAATATTTAAAGTCTGCTCTAAACCCAATAAAACTAAAACTGTACAGATTTATAAGCACCTTTTACACTTATGATGGTAAAATAATGTGTTTTGAAACATTAATTCAATATGAAAGTATGAAAAAAATCCTTTCTTTCAAACTATAACAATGTATCTCCGAAGTTGGTGTCTTCTTCAGTGATATAAGCTTCCAGAACTGTCTTCATTTGTTTCTGTAATTCAAATCATTAAAATAAACTGAACCAAAATGACAGGAAGATAATACATTCCACACACAAATTATCTGGAAGTAATGTCGGAAAATACTATAACTGTTCCTTCAGTTCAGTCATCTATACTTTCCACAATTGAAGCATATTTTTAAAACAATAGTCTAAAACACAGAATGCGACTTTTACACAAAGATACAAAAAAACACGTGTGCCTTTTGCCATAGATTAAAAGTACTGAAAAAACATTGAGAAATTTCAGAGATTTGATCATCAGAATGTTAGGCATGGGTGTTGTAACAATAGCATAATCTGACTGCATCTTCTAACCTGGGTGGGAAAATTTAGCCTATCAGGTGTTTGAATGTCTCCCAGTTCCTTACCACTGGTCATATTGGGTGGGCCTATCTCTGAGTGTTGTAGATCAAAACACCTGGTGGGCCAAATGTTTCCCACCCCTGCTCTATACACTTCACAACATAAATGTGTTTAGCCTCAATCTTACAACAAGGAATCTTAAAACTCTGCCAGGATATGCATTGCCCTATTTTATGAGAGAGAGATCAATTTACAAAGAGGATGTGTGGAATTTTGAGGAACCAGAATATGTGAGGTGGGAAGAATGGGTTATGTGGCTGAGACAGTGTCTAGTGGCAAGAAGACGATGAAGGAGGATGAGATGGCAGTAGTAACTAGGGAACTACTTGGAGATTTTGGGTTTGTGGGGGTTCAGTTTATGTTCACTCGAAAAGGCATTTCCAGAAAGTTTTGCAGAACTAAAACAATAACATTTCTAATATCTGTCTCAAGTCCATGTCACAACTATTTATATTGTAGTACTGCAGAAAGTTCCTTGAGATTTCTAGAATTTGCTGCCGAGAAAGGATCAGAACATCCCTTCAATAATGCACAATCAATATCCTTTTACAATTAATATACTACTTACCTTTTCTGAATGTTTTTGTGTTCATCCATGATAGCTCTGAGTTTCCATGTGCTTGCATCACATATGGCTTTGAATATTTCAAAAGCTCTTTAGTAGGAGAGCTTTATGGAAGAGGGGTGTATGAACTGATCTGACCCGTTGCATCATGTGCAACTGATGCTCTGTGGTTTGAGGAATACATTTTTCCTTAAGTGTGACAAGCATGGCATAATGTTTTTTTTCCACCCACTTAGATTTGGCAAAGTTTGTCTGGATGAGTAAATTATATTCTGTATCATAGGATTTCTAGTTTCTGCACTCCTTTGCTATAGTCCCTTGTCTGTCTCTCAATCTCTCTTTCTCTGTGACACACACAAACACAATTAACTAATCATGCAAAGCTTTGGATCAATAAACTACTCGGTATTTACATGGTTCAAAGTTAAGCTTTTATTTGGTTTTAAATTAAAAAAATAAATTTCATTATTAAAGAGTGGAATGGGTCTAAACTAATGTTTACATATTAGTTTACTTGGTTTAGAATATCACCAGAGAAACAATAAAGGTGTACTGTATCACCCAGAACAGAAAACTTGTTTTTGTTAGAAATTTTGACAGTGGTAGAATTCAGTTTAATTTGAAAAAGTCTTACAGGTTTACAACGAATGTTAGAAGTAAACATCTGGCCTCTGTGTCCTCTGCATCTAATCTCCATCTCCAGTGATGCCTGTGGTTCTGGGAACTATACGACAGTGCTAATATCATCTGCTTCGTCTGGTTTCTTTTGCCTGCTTGGCAGGGATTTCAAGTACTCAAGGTGCCTGCGTGCATCCTCTTGATTTTGCCGTACGTAGTAAACTACATAAGAGATCACCATGGTGAACCAGCCAAACATGGTGACAAGCATGGCATAATCAGTAGTCTTTTTAGGAAGGTTACAGAGGTCAGCGTCGGCAGCATTAAGGAACGGCCTCCCAGCATGTTCGTCTAAATCTGAAGTCTTACAGATGACACTGTTTGCTGTTTCATGGTTGGAGGCCATGCTCCTCAAGACCTGCTGCAGTGTGCAGTCACAGTGCCAAGGATTGTTTGCAATTCTAGCCCTAGCCTTGAGGTTGTTAAAAGCATTTTTGTGCACGCTTTTTATCCGGTTGTCAGACAAGTCCAGCATCTGTAAGGTTTCTGCCACCCCTTTGAAGGAGTGTTCGTCGATGAACTCAATAATGTTTTTGGACAAGTTGAGGACTTTCAGTTGGTGCAAATCCTTGAAAATTTCATTGGGGATGGATGTGATCTGATTGGAGTCCAAATAAAGTAAGACCGTCTCCGGAGGAAGATCTCTGGGTATTTCCTTGAGGTTTGCATTGCTGCAGCTGACGTTTAAACCTCCAGAATGAGAACAAAGGCAACCTTTGGGGCACATACTGGCAGAATGAAAGCACAGTATCATGAGGACAAAGCTTTGTAAGAGCAGACACATGGAGAGGGAGCGAGTTAACCACAGGTCTACCAAATGCATACTGGGATGTCAGCATAATCACACAGCCACTTCTCATTTACCCAACAGTGGTGCAAAGGATCTCAGGCACAAAACTCTAAACTCATGTTCTTTAGCAATGTCATTGAAAGATGTGTCGACTTCTTTTTAAAAGAGCATGCCTGGAAAATTAAAACAAAACAAAGAGTCTGTTATTAGGCTAGAAAGCCAAATTAAGTGCACTTTACAATGCAGATTTATGGATGTAAACTGATTTCAGTAAGACGTACCAGAGTACTGTACTTTATAAAAAGTTTTATAATTTTGTTAACTTCCAAGTAGGGTCATGCAAATTTGAAATCTATATTTTAAAGAGAACAGACACTGTCCCAATTTATTATGACAACTTTTTGAGGGAATTTTTCTTTTTCTATCAAAGGTTTTTCAAACAATAGTAATAAAACTTAATTACTTTCTTTCTCATACAGTAGTAGACACATTAATAAGATTTACAGGGGGATTCAAGCAGATATAGCAAATTAGGCAAGCATTTTTGTGGTTAATGACCTTGCTTAAAAGTATTCTGTAACACTGTAAAGCCAAATTAAACTATTTTAGAGAGGAAGATTTTTTACTAGAATAATACACATCATGAAGAGAAACTAAATATTTCTCAATTTCCTGGCTCAAACGCTCTCTTAACTTCAGTCCATTCTTTTTGTTTTTCGCCATGCATATTGTTATATCACAGCAGGGTCTGGGAGTAATATTTTAAAAAGCAATCAAAGATAGAATGGGCTATAGTACTTATTGTTATTATTAATATTAATGTTTATTTATATGCCATTTTTTTCTCTCCACAAAGGAGTCTCAAAGTGGCTTAAATTAAAATACAATTTAATTTCAATACAATTTAAAATCCAAAAACATACACACATTAAAATAGAATTAAACATCAATGGCATTAATGAAAAATTAACAGTTAACATTCAAAAAAACTAATTAAAAACATATTCAAAGCCTAAACCATAACAACCCCCAATGTGGTCTTAGAAACCTTGTTTATACAATAAATGGAAAGTTCTCTTAAATGCCACAGACTCTCAATTGGGGAAATTCATGTAGTACCCTTCTCCGTGATCTTGAAATACAGCATAAAGGCAGACCATGGAACACTAAGGCATGATATTTAGCTCCACAATCTCTTTAATTTTCTTCTTTATTAATAATTTACAACACATTTTTACACTCTTGGCAAGTCTATTTATCTCAATATGCATTTCCTTTCATTTAGAAAATGAGATATTTGCATACCCTTCCTAGTTGTATTTACATATACATTAATCTTATTTTAACATAAAGGGAAGTTAATGCTGATTACATTCGTATAATGTGAGGTGTAGAATTCTGCAGGAAAAGAATGAAATCTGAGTCACTTTCATTTTGTGTTCATGAACTAAAGGAGGGGCAATTCATACATGATTTGTCCTCTTAATCTAAGAATGGGTCTACTGCATGAGAAAGTTTTATCTGAGAACCCCCCAAATGCACATGAATTTGCAGCACCTTTGAAAAAAGATATTACAGGCAAAAGCTTTTATGGACTACAATTCACTTCATCAGACATGCAACAACATATGCTAGAAATTTCCTTTTTACCAGTTAGCCTCCAAAGTGCTCCTGGATTCCTTTATGTATTTATATTCTAAAACAGACTTACTTTCCTTAAATGCTCAGCCATAAATGAGTTTCAATATCACAAAATTTAAGCCTTAGTTTCCCATATAGAAAATGGGAATAAAAATCATTCACTTTGTAGGATATGAGAAAGAGATAAACTACCATGAACAGAACACTCACTTCCATTTCAAAATCAAAAGGTTATTCTTAAAATATTTTTAATTTTCATATCCCAATGACAATGTAAGAAAACAAAAAGGCCATAATGTACTATAACTATGTAATGCACAGAACACACACATAAGGTGGAGGAAACCATACTCAAAAACAATGGCAAACCTAAGGTGTAGATTTGATAGAATGGGGAAATGAAAAATGAAATAAAACAGAAGATGAAATGAAAACCAGCTCCTTCCTAATACTATATACTCTTGTTTTGCTTGTGACTATAGCTTTCCAAGTTTATTTTTATTTTATAAAATTACATAGAGATAACCTGGAGTTCTATATCATCTGCAAATGTTTGACATTTGTGTTTCTATTAAACTATAGCCATACCATATCTCTCCATTGTTGTATCAGAGTTTGGGGTAAAACCCCTAGACATAACACAACAGTTTGAGTCTGTGCTCCAGAAAGCCAGTCTAACCAGCTTCTAATACTGTTATCACTAAATTCATTCCAAAATGACAGGGGCAATAGTGAGATCATTCTCTCAAAATTTCACAATGTAAGCAGTGTCAGTTGCTGCAATTTTGCAGCCATTAATAAAAAAAGGTCTAGAAATGTGAGATATACTAGTGTACCTAGAATCATAGAATCATAGAATCAAAGAGTTGGAAGAGACCTCATGGGCCATCCAGTCCAACCCCCTGCCAAGAAGCAGGAATATTGCATTCAAATCACCCCTGACAGATGGCCATCCAGCCTCTGTTTAAAAGCTTCCAAAGAAGGAGCCTCCACCACACTCCGGGGCAGAGAGTTCCACTGTTGAACGGCTCTCACAATCAGGAAGTTCTTCCTCATGTTCAGATGGAATCTCCTTTCTTGTAGTTTGAAGCCATTGTTCCGCGTCCTAGTCTCCAGGGAAGCAGAAAACAAGCTTGCTCCCTCCTCCCTGTGGCTTCCTCTCACATATTTATACATGGCTATCATATCTCCTCTCAGCCTTCTCTTCTTAGGCTAAACATGCCCAGCTCCTTAAGCCGCTCCTCATAGGGCTTGTTCTCCAGACCCTTGATCATTTTAGTCGGCCTCCTCTGGACACATTCCAGCTTGTCAATATCTCTCTTCAATTGTGGTGCCCAGAATTGGACAAAATATTCCAGGTATGGTCTAACCAAAGCAGAATAGAGGGGTAGCATTACTTCCCTAGATCTAGACACTATGCTCCTATTGATGCAGGCCAAAATCCCATTGGCTTTTTTTGCCGCCACATCACATTGTTGGCTCATGTTTAACTTGTTGTCCATGAGGACTCCAAGATCTTTTTCACACGTACTGCTCTCGAGCCAGGCATCCATTCTGTATCTTTGCATTTTGTTTTTCCTGCCAAAGTGGAGTATCTTGCATTTGTCACTGTTGAACTTCATTTTGTTAGTTTTGGTCCATCTCTCTAATCTGAATCTAAACTGAATCACAAGCATAACATGTTCATGAGCACTCCACAATATAGGCAGAGGAGTGGACAAATGTAATTGTCTGGGTGAGAACAAACATGAATTCGAGAGTACAAAAGATTCTGAATTCTTGTTTAAGAAATACGATACAAGAGATAAAGAGTGAAGGGAACATGGGATATAATGATCCCAATCACATTAAGCATGTGTGAAAGATTACACCTCTGGTAGCCTGCCATTATGTAATTTTTTCCCTTCTACATTACTAGAGTACTATTTTGCTGTTAAACTAATTTCTTCACTCCATTCTAACAATCTTTTTAAAAAACTTGACTCTAACAGTTTTCAAAACTCTGCAGTTGACTTTCAGAGAGTGCACTGAATTATATTTCAAGGATGTTTGGTTAAGGCAGGCAAGAGTAATTTTTAGTTTCTTCTCAAAACGGCTTGCGGTGCTTTGTATTGGAATGCTAATTACTGCATTTCCCAATATAATAATTTTTTTTTTAAAAAAAACAATAAAATCATCATTTTCCAACAGGATCTAAATACTGTGGGAATTAAATGAATCTTTGTTCTGCTCCATATATCCTGCATTGTAAGTCTATTTGAAATACAACCATATGAATGCCGTTGGCAGATATTGGTACAAATCCGTAATGCTCATTAAGCTCTCTGGCTGGTTATGGGAAATGTATCTTCCATTTTGATTTACTTTATTCTACCTTCATTTGTAGGATTTATGTAGCAATCAAACAGGGAAATCCCAGGTAAACTAGGGAAACCCACCTATGTTTGTCAATATACATAGGTATGTTTCACAAAACTGCTTGTTGTAAGTTTCCAGGATATAGTCACAAATCAATTTCAACATCTGGACAAAGATAAGCAGGGGATGATAAAGTGCAAACATTTTGGCATTCAGGTCCCCCACTGCTGGCAGATATAATTTTTCTTCAATGGTTCTGGGTCAAAAGTCTAGACGAAAGAGAGATAAGCTGTGTTGCTTCTTACTCTTTCCTTCACTCTGGTTTGTTTTCATACCACTAAAATAACAACTTCCATGCTATGACAGCAAGTTGTGCAATTCAAATGGTGAAAGAAAAATGGTTTGCTTGATTTGTTTTTTACCCTGTCTCACAAAAATCTCATTTCATGCCGAAAATTTCTCCAATTAACTTTTGGCTCAGCCCTAATGTAGCAGAGGTAAAATGATGGTGGACATTTTTAAAAATCTGATTATTAGTTCTCATACTATTTAAATGAAATAATATACTTGGGACTTTGAAACTAAATTTTCTGATATAGCACAGAACTCATTTAAAGAAATGAATAAAAAGCAGAATCAGGATCAAGTAAATACAGAGATAAAATTTTGAGTAAAATTTTAAGACCAAAGAACCTGTCAAATTAGGCAGCTCTGATGTTTTGGTGAGGGTCCTTGGAGGTCGTCAGGTAGCCTCATAGGTATCCTCATAAGATGCTCCTTTTCTCTGTCAAAGAGGTAGAACGATATCTTGCTGAATGAATCACATGATGCCATCTCATATTTTATGGGTGAGAGGTCTATGGAACAAAGTGAAAAACACAGTTTGTTGACAAGGTTACACAAAATGGCTTATCTTTTGTTCATTTCGTATTCTGAAACATAACATAATAATTATCCTAAATATCAAAAATAAAACATATATGGAATCCAATCTCAATGTTTATAATTTTCAATAAAATATATATTTTGTTAATGATTTTAAATGACTTTATATTAAATTAATAGTTTCCCAAAAGATCTCAAAATAGCAGGCTGGATCCGCAAGAAACTATGGGATTCTGCACTATTCTCCCCTTCCCCTTTTACCTCAATGTTCACAAAGGCAACATATATATTCCGTAGTTCTGTAGTAGATTTTTTTTTATCCTTCAACGCAGGAGCCCAATTTCACTCAATGGCTATACATTTTTAAATGAAAGTAAACAAAAGAAGAATTTGAGATACTTTAATCCTCATAGCAAAGTTTACTTGTGACAGACAATTTAGCCCTAGACTCTTTAGCAGGCATCAGACAAAATTGATTTTATGTTACTTTACAGAAGTTCTGGTGATTAACAGCATGGGAAAAGGGCATTTCTGCAACAAATACACAGACACTAGCCTCCTCCCATTGCCCTTTGTCTCAGGATTCCTACAGGTATCAATTTCACTTTCTGGTTTGTCATCTTGTATGAGGAAGGAATGCATTACTTAATAATCTAAGGTTTGTTTACCATTTACACTAGGAATATGTGATCCATTAAAAATGGTTCAAAGGTCATTACAAAACTGTGTGTGTGTGTGTGTGCGCGCGCGCGCGCGTGCTGGCATTCAATTTCTAAAGTGTTTCTAAAGTATCATTAGTGAAAAATGCGTTACTGTAATGAGAGTAAAGAAATTTCATTACTATTTCATTACAGTAATTGTGCATAAATTACTATAATTGGGGAAACTTCTCTCTCATTTTACAGCTATTAGGGTGAGACACATTTGCCACTGTTAGGCCACCAAATTTCAGAACATTGCACTTATCCACAAGTTTTTGAGGCATTTCCAGTTTTTATAAACAACATTTAAAAAACCACAAGAACTATCGCCTTGAATGTGCTATACAATGACAGGAGATAACAGTGGATAATTTCTCCTAACTTTCAGAAATATTTATACATCTACTGATTTTAGGGATTCCAAAAAAAGCCAAAACAGCTATCTCATTGAATGTCTCTCATATTAACCAATAGAAACCAATATTAACCAATTCTACATTTTTATAGACTCCTAGAGTTGTAGGGGAAACCAAGAGTCATCTAGTCCAACCCTCTTCTTACAAGCAGAAGTACTATAAAACGGAAATGCCCTGAATTTCAGACTGGGACGTGGGGAGGAGTTTTGAATACTAGGTATCTTGAAGACAAAACCCGGGTCTAAACACAAAATACAGTAATGTTTCATTTTCACCTTAGACACATAGCTTAAAGACAATTTTATAGACAGATTTTTAATTATTGTATGCATGAAACTAGATTTATGTACATTGAACCATCTGAAAGCCAATCACATTTACAATTTTGGGGTATTTTGAATTTCAGAATTCTGAATAAGAGTTTCTGAATCTGTACTAGGAAAAAAGTCTTACTAGTTCAATAATTATCTTTTTCTATTCAAAAAATGAATCATCCTATATCTTGAATGAATCCCACCTATTATTATATAATTGTCTTGACACTTATATATGGATCCTATTTAATTCCACTTGACTTACTCCCAGGCATGGTGTATACACGCGCAGCTAAAAAATACAACCCTGCTTCAAAAATAAAATAAAAATGCTAATATGACCCCTTTGGGTAGCCATTTGTGATATTATTTCTCAAAAACACATTATTTACTAGGACAGATTTTAGTACTATCATTCTATGTGATAATTCCATGACCCAAACATGCAAAAGACAAAAGCGTATGGGTCTGGGATAATACGAATTAGGAACAGTAATATCAATTACTGGCCTGTTTAAATGCATATCCACAATGACAAAATCATTAAATTATGTCAGGCAAATTAGAATGCTCATTTCTATTATGCACCATCACCATTATTACCATCACTTATTTATATAGCACCATTACATGGCACATTACAAGTAAAATAACCCAAATCCCCTGCTTTCAGGCTTACAATTCTAATAAAGAGATGTCACATAAGGAAAGGGAAATGACAATGGGACAGGGTTAGGTCTAGAAGATACTGTCTCTACTTTTCTCCTTCCAGTGCAGGGCAGTGTCAGTAGGGGTGGACTCAGAGTATTTCATTGGTTTTTGGGCCTAGGTAATGTGAAACTATGTCTTCAGTAGGGGTGGACTCATAGTATTTCATCGGTTTTTTGGGCCTACGTAATGTCAAACTATGTCTTCTCTTCATTTGAGACCAGGGCAGTGGCAGTAGTGATGGAAGAGGACTTTCATCTACTTCTTGGCCTATGTGTAATAGACCCATGTCTACTTCTTTTCTCCTTCTTAGGTCATAGCAGAAAAATAACTGGAATTACAGGGTAGTTTGATTGCTTAAAAGAATAGAAGAGAACCAACTGAAAAAATGTTTTATCACAAAATAACACCATAGAATGTGTCCTCAAATGCATTATTTTGTTAAGTAAGTACAGCAATAGGAGCATAGATTGGCATCATCTAAATGCAATGATGCATGGATCTGAAATATGAAGAAAAATCAACATGAATAAAATTGCAGAAAGTTCATTTAGAGTGAGAAGTTTCAAGTTATCACAATATTCACCATAAAGTGACTTTACTAATAATGTATAGGAACAAAGGATTATATGATTCATCTGAGGATCTCTGTTTAGAAATGTTTCAATAAACTTGTTTCGATATTTGCATCTTGACTTAATATTCTTGAACCAAAATATTACTTTTCAAACCATGGCTTCAGATCCTGCCTTCTGAAGCTGTTAATCATACTTTCCCGATTTGTCAAGACATACAATTATAGCTTTAAAAATATTCCTGGTTTTTCCCACCTTGCTTGCATACCAGTACAGAAGCCAACAATCCTTGTTCCCTTTAACAGATCCAACCAGTAGCTTTATAAGAGATCATTTAAACATTCCTTTTACTACAGAATGGGTTAAAGATTGAACATCCCTAATCCATAATTATGAAATAATCCAAGACCCCAAATTGTCCACATGGATAATGACATATTTTGCTTTCTGATAGTTCAGTGAACACAAGCTTTGTTTGATGCACACATTTTTTTTAATGTCATGTATAAAATTACCTTTGGTCTATGTGTATAATGTGCATACGAAACTTAAATGAATTTTATTTTTAAACTTGGGTCCCACTTCCAAAATATCTAATTATGGATGCATATGCACATCCAAATCCAAAACAGTTCTAGTCCTAGGCATTTCAGATAATGGGTTACACAACCTGTATTGCCATTGTTTAACGTCCTCCTTGAGTGATAAAATTACTTTTACTGTATTCCTACAGAATAAGCTAAACTTCCACACTTTATTATTTTATACCACTCTAAGCAAGGAGATCCAAGAGTGACAAAATTGTAGGTGGCTCAGTCCCACAGATCAGCTTTTTAGCTTCTTTGGTGCAAACAATTATTTATGCAGTGGACAGGAAGAGAGAAACCAGTATTCCTATGCCTTATTTGCTTTGAAATTTCCTTATTAGACAGCAACAGAAGCTTAAGACTGCATACTTCTTCACTCTGCAAAAACCAGTGCATGATACATATTTAGTTCTTCATTTCCCACACTCCATTAAAATGTACAGTACAAATTAACTCTATGGTACATAATGAAGTGAAATGCGCTAGAGAACAAGTTGTCCACTGGTCCATTGCCTGAATGCAAGAGAAGGGCAATTGCATGGATGGCAGTTTTACTTCCATAATCACCCTTCACAGGCCACACGAGTGTATCTTGATGTGTTGGAACTAATATTAAATCACCTTCTACAGTACATTTTGGCTTATCCAACTGAAGATGAGGGGATTTGAAGGGTAACTGTGATATTTGTGTGTTTTAAGAAAACTAAAAATCTTTTAAAAAGATTTTTCTTTAAAAAATGGAGGAAGGCTCTAACAAAACTATTTTGGGGGGGGGGTCAGAAGCCACAAGAGTGGGTTTGTGGGCTCTATGCAATCTGCAGTCCATAGTCTCTCAACATCACACTGTAATATTCATCTTACTGGTTCATATAGGTTCACATGGCCAATTATCATATACATCAGAAAAGGAAACCATGCTGTACACATGAAATTGTTAAAGCTGTCATTGATGTGGATATAGTATATTTAGCATGTCATACTGGAAGAAACACAAACCTAAGATCAGCTTTTAAAATATGTCTGTGTCAGGAAATCTACACAGTGAACTACATTTTTGTGTTTTCCACAGAAACACAAAAATGTACTCCTGTTGTTATTTGGCTAATATTTACTGGACAGAAATAATTAAAATTAAAATGATCCATGAGCAAATAATATAAATGTAATAAGATGGCTCTGTTAGGTTGTAGAAATGCTCTGAATAACTGAATTACTTTGAGAAAGCTGGACGAGCTATACAAACAGGTTCATCTGAACTTTAACTGTACTTATAACTTCAAAGCCATAGCATTGAGAACTTCTGTGGAAGGCTTTCTCTTGGTCCTGTCTTCATCACAAACTTGCTTAGACTTGAGAAAGTGTTTTCACAGTGACTGCTCCCACCCTCTGGCATGCCTTTCTATTAGAAACTAAGCTGGAAGCAGGCAAAGGCTGTTGTGTTCAAGCAGCTTTTTAATACATAATCACTCGCAAAGAGGTTTCATACTGGGGTACATGCTTGGTTTATATTTTGAACGTCCATATCCTTTAAAATAATTTATAGTGTTTTAATTGCTGAATACATTCATGTTCAAGTCAAGGGAAAGTTTGAGGGCCAAAATTATGGATTTTTATATGCCCCATGGATAAGTTGAAGATCATCCCATGGAGGAGGAAAGCACCAATGTTACC